CCCAGCAGAATTTCTGTGGCCTTAGACCAAGCTAAGTGACACAAACAAACCTGTACTTGTCTTAAATGCCATTGCATTACACTCACAATTACATTACTTTTTTTTTTTTTTTTGGTCTAAGCAAGGCAAAATTGACTTCTGTGTAGAAGGGTGTGCCATCCACCAAAAATCTGGCAAACAAGCACCTACATTGCTTATTTTTTAAAATCCCTATAAAACTTTTATTAAGGAACTTATAAGTAAAATAGAGTAAAGCAAAAGCCATATGAAGGTCCATAAAAGCAAGTCCCTTTAAAAGCAATCTCAGTTGTGAGTATGAGGTTAACACAAGAAGAATATGTAGAGCTCTAGAGGTGGGATCCATAGGGTTAGTAAACTTGATGGCCTTGGACTTTGCTCTTCAAATCCATATTTCTCCTAATGCAATAAGATCTTGGGTTTTGACCCTGAATTACTCTCCTTGTAGCAGTACATGCTGATCCACCTCTGGAAGAGAGAGCAAAGTTCTAACTCTCTGTGCCCCTTCCAATCATAATTCATCTAGGCCTCTAGCTCGTAGCCTTCTCTTAACATGCCCAGGGGCAGAGGTTCCTCTCCACACAATGACCCACCATTCACTCAGATTCTGCTTTGTTCCTAAACATTCAGCCCCCCAGCCTCCTGCTGGGCCTGGTGCATTCAGTATGAACTTTCCAGGAACCTGCTCATGTCACAGGCCTTTTCCTGCATGACAAGTTCAATGCTAGTCATGAATAGTGGGCTTTACACAGAGGCTTAGAACTATTCATAAAAATGATGACTCCACACCCAGAAATAGTGAAAAACTGGCCTAAAAGAGGCAGGCTGTATCTCTATTAAATCTACCAGGGTATTACCCAGGACTCTTGCTATAAATAGCATGCAAGTTTTTCTCTGCCATACTAATCAAACATACTAGAAACACAATAGTCTGCCAGATTCAAAGTGAGGGGGAATGTGGCTTGATGGGGAATCCTGGTACCCACAGAGTGAAGGCTTTTCTAAAGAACTAAAGCCACATAGGGCTTAGCCCCTACCCCCCAAACCAGGCACTATTGGGTTCTCATTCTCTCCTGATGGTTCCACATCCAGATCACTTGAGAGTTATAGAAGAAAAAGTGAAAGCCATGTTGAATTTTCTGTCTTTGGAATGGTGAAGAGTTTCTGGCGAGTCTTGCATTTGTATTGTATGGGGTGTATTGTATTGTATTGTATGGAGTATTTGTATTATTTTTCTATCATTCTCCCTTCTGTAGCTGACTATCAATGACTGCATGAAGCAGCTCCTGTTGGCGCGGGATATATTTTGTAAGTGTGGTTGAAGATTATCTTTGCAAATCAAAATGCCCAGATTCAATCCCCTCTTCATCATTCCTGAGAGAATGGCACAGGCTGGTAGGAAAAGACCATCTTTGTATAGAGCAAATGGACCGAGGAAAATCTGCTTTCCTCTCCTCTGCCCCTTTCCTCTTTATACAACTAGAGCCAAATGAGGTTTTTTTGTTTTTTTTTTTTTCATTTTGAAAATCTGATTAAGCAGCTTGAGCAACAGCTCATTCTTATGGTCTTTACTGCTTTCTCATGTGGGCACAGGATAACGGCCCACTCAAGCTGGAAGGATCGCAAAGCTGTCAGGCAGCGGTGAGGCTCAAGGCAGGAGCTACAAAAGGTGATCCTACAGTGCTGGGCCTGTAGCGCTAGTCAGGACCCTTTCTTTCCCCCCAGAGGCACCAGAATTCACTGCAGCTTCAGGCACAGAGAAGAGGAATCCCAGACTTCCATGACACCTTGTCCTGAGAAACAGAAGGGGAAGCAGATGAAGAGTGGCCTGTGGGAAGGAAAAGTAAGCTAGTGGACTAGTTATGAGTGAAAACTCCTTTGCTTACATTTGGGAACTGAGAAACTTTGTTCTTCTGGCATGTTTGAAAGTATCTTCTAGCCAGGCTAGAAGTGGGCTGGTGGCTCACCCTTGTAATCCTAGCTACTCAGGAGGCTGAGATCTGAGGACTATGGTTCAAAGCCAGCCCGGGCAGGAAAGTCTATGAGACTCTGATCTCCAATAAACCACCAGAAAACCGGAAGTGGCACTGTGGCTCAACTGGAGAGCACTAGCCTTGAGCTGAAGAGCTGAGGTCCAGCACCCAGGCCCAGAGTTTAAGCTCCGTGACTGACCAAAAAAAAAAAAAAAAAAAATCTAGCAGGGCACCATTGGCTCATGACTGTAATCCTAGCTACTCGGGAAGCTGAGATGTGAGCATCACGGTTTGAAGCCAGCCTGGATAGGAAAGTCTGTGAGACTCTTATCTCCAATGAACCACCAGAAAACCAGAAGTGGCACTGTGGCTCAAAGTGGTAAAGTGGTAGAGTGCTAGCCTTGAGCACAAAAGCTCACGGAGTGTCTAAGCCTTGACTTCAACTCCATGATCACCTCCCAACCCCCTGCCCCCAAAAATCTTCTGAGGCTGGGTTTAGCACAATGGCACAGCAAATGACTAGCATGTACAACACCCCGGGTTCAACTCTCAGCACTGCAAACAAATCATAATAATCATTGTAATCATGATTATGATTATTATTTTGTAGATGTATGTGAAATGACATCAATAGACTTTTTAAACAAGTCTCTACATCCACAGGCTCTGCCTTATTTATGGGTTCCACATCTCCAGATTCAAGCCCAGACTGAAAATATTCGAGAAACCCCCCGCATCTGCAGTGAACATGCTCAGGATCTTTCTTGTCTCAACCTCTAAACAATAACATCAGCATTCTAAGCTATCAGAGGTGGTTTACAGTGTGGGGAAGATGGGCACAGGTCTCTGCGAAGCACTGCATGGTTACTAAGGTCCTGAGCATCCCAGATAGTGAGGGAGAGGAAGAACAGCATGTTTAAAGGCCAATCTGGATTTATGTTTCCATACTGTAAGCCTTTTGTGAAACCTGGCTACAATATTTTCTACTTTGTTTTCAAATATCTTAAAAAGTTATTTTTTCTCAGGAAATGAAAACATGGCTTTTGGTGGTGTTATTGGTGGTGGTGGTTGTTTTTGTTTTTCTGGAGGGGTAAAGGGGGTGCATAGGAAGGGAGGGAGGAAGCATGACCAAATGCAATCATGCTATTCAATATACAGTATGTAGAAAATGACCTATGTAACTCTTGGGTAGGGATGGGAGGGGGAAAGAAAAGGAAGAGGTGACATTGTCCAAAAAAAGAAAAGTACCCATTACCTCATTTACAAAAGGGTAGCCCCTCTGTACAATACATTAATAGTAACAATAAAGTGATTTTAAAAATAATAATAAAAGGGAGATAATAATTTTTTTTTGCCAGTCTTGGGGCTTGAACTCAGGGCCTAGGCACTGTCCTGAGCTTCTTTTACTCAAAGCTATCATTCTACCACTTGAGCCAAAGCACAACTTCTGGCCTTTTCTGTATATGTGGTACTGAGGAATTGAACCTAGGGCTTCATGCATGCTAGACAAGTACTCTACCACAAAGCCACATTCCCAGCCTGAGAGATAATGATTTTTAAAAAGTTATTTTTTTTATTGGTTTTGATTTAATCTATGCTAGTCCAGAACTTGCCATCCTTCTGTCTCAGCATCCTGAGTTCTGGGACTATAGGTGTATACCACCATGCCAAGTTTTGTTTTTGTTTTTATTTTTTTTTTGTCACTCATGGGCCTGAACTCTGGGCCTGGGCGCTGTCCCTCAGCTCTTCAGCTCAAGGCTAGCGCTCTACCACTTGAGCCACAGCACCACTTCTGGTTTTTTCTGCTTATGTGTTGCTGAGGAATTGAACCAAGGGCCTCATGCATGCAAGGCAAGCACTCTACCACTGAGCCACCTTCCCAGCCTCCATGCCAAGTTTTAAAGTACCTTATTTTTTCTTTTGGTGCCAGTTTTGGGGCTTGAGCTCATGGCCCTGAGTTTTATCCAGTCTAGGCTAGTGCTCTACCAATTGAGGCATAGTGCCACTTCCAGCTTTTTGGGTCATTACTTGGAGCTAAGAGTCTCATGGACTTTCCTGCCCAGGCTGGCTTTGACCTGTGATCCTCAGATCTTAGCCTCCTGAGTCCCTAGGATAATAGGCATGAGCCACCAGCTAAAGTATCTTTTTTAAGATTCCGTTTTTGGGTGCCAGTGGCTCACACCTGTAATCCTAGTAACTCAGAAGGCTGACATCTGAGGATCACAGCAGGAAAATCTGTGAGGCTCTTAGCTCCAATTAACTACCAGAAAATGGGAAGTGTGCTGTGGCTCAAAGTGGTGGAGCACTAGCCTTCAGTGGAAAAAGTCCAGGGACAGTGCCCAAGCCCTGAGTTCAACTCCCATGACCACCACCATCACCACCAACAACAACAAAAGATTCCCTCTATACTTTCTACTCTCTGGGGACTAAGGTGTCCTTTTGTACTTTGCATATAACTGAGTAAATAAAATGACAAGGAAACAAGCCCTTTAATAAGAGACTGAAGAAACTGGGCTGTGAATTATTATCTTCGGAAACAACAGAATATTTTATACTAATGTGAGTAAAAGAACTACCATCTGGCCTGTGTATGATATTTATCAAGTTATCTATTAAGTATCATTTTTCAGGGGACTAAAGCCAAATAAAACTAAGTAATAACAAGTATTATATCTTAGTTTTGGTGTGCCTCAGGAGGTTTGCTAAAAAAACAAAAACAAACAAACAAAAAACCTCATTCAAAAAATACATTTCAGAAAGTGTAAAATACCATCTTTTCCCTGCACCTTGCTATTGAGTTGCTGCCTCTTTCCTCAGCAGCATGAAGAGCTGACCAAAGCTGGGCTCACCACCTGGGGAACACACCATAGAAGTGGTCCCATTCCTCAAACACTTCGGGCCAGGATACCTGTCTTTGTACCTCCTTAGGAAACCCACTGGCCTGGCTACATGTGCTCTGCCCCATGGAACTTGGGACCCGTAAACCACGGGAAGGCGCAATGGTCTTACTCTGGCAGGCAGGAATCTCACAGTACTTCCAGTAGACGCCATCCTCATGTTCTGCCACATAGCACCAGGGGCTCACATCTCCATCCGGGTTCCTGTTGGGGAATATGACACAATGAATGACACTGTAACTGTTTCAAGCCAACCTGGTGTTCAGGTTGTGTTGTGTGTTGTGGTTTGTGTGTATGTGTATGTGTGCGTGCGTGTGCGTGTGTGTGTGTGTGTGTGTGTGTGTGTGTGTGTGTGTATGTGAGATACTGGGGTTTGAATTTAGGGGTTCTGCTTGCTCTATAGGCCAGCACTTTGATCTGAATCTAAATATTGTAAGAGTTGAGTGAGCACAGCTGCTCGCAACACTGCCCTGGGTATATCCACTGACACCAACAGTTCGAATGGCAATCTGGGAATTAGCATCAAAGAACCTAAAAATAAAAAACGAACAAAAAAAGCTTTCTTCTTTGTAGTACTAGGACCTAAACTCAAGACCTTGCACTTTAGTAGGCAGGTGCTCTACCATATGAGCCATGCCCCAGCCCAAAAGATGCAAAGTCTTTGGCAATTTCTTTCTTTTTTTCTTTTTTCTTTTTGGGTCTGGTCGTGGGGCCTGAACTCTGGACCTGGGCACTGTCCCTCAGCTCTTCAGCTCAAGGCTAGCGCTCTACTACTCGAGCCACAGCACCACTGCCAGATTTTTCTGCTTATGTGGTGCTGAGGAATGGAACCCAGGGCCCCATGCACGTAAGGCAAGCACTCTACCACTGAGCCACCTTCCCAGCCCCAATAACAATTTTTAAAATTAAAAAAAAAATACATGTATGTTATGCAGCTAGGGCAAATGTACTACAGAGAACTGCCTTCAACATGGAAAGATAATCATGAAGTCTCTTTGGTTTTGTGTGTGTGTGCCAGTCCTAGGGCTTGAACTCAGGCCCTGTACTCTGTCACTGAGCTTTTTAACTCAAGGCTATTGCTCTACTACTTAAGCCAAAGCTCCACTTCCAGCTTTTTAGTAATTTACAGGAGATGAGTCTCACATTTTCCTCCCCAGGCTGGCTTTGAACCATAATCCTTAGACCTCAGACTTCTGAGTAGCTAGGATGACAGGTGTGAACCATTGGCACTCAGTTTTGTTTTTTACAGGTACTTATATGATCCTAGATGAAGCTGGTTGTGGTGGCACATGCCTGTAATCACAGCACTCAGGAAGCTGTGAAATGTATTTAGAGAAGGATATACACTAGACTCTTAAAAGTATTTATCTGGCCAGATGCTGGTGGCTCACACCTGTAATGGTACCTCCTCAGGAGGCTGAAATCTGAGGCTCACAGTTTGAAGCCAGTCTGGGCAGAAAAGTCCCCGTGAGATTCTTATCTCCAATTAACCTCTCAAAAAACAAAACAAAAAAACTGAAAGTGGAGTTGTGGCTCAAAGTGATAGAGCTAGGGTAGCCTTGAGCAAAAGAGCTCAAGGACAGCACCCAGGCCCTGAGTTTAGGCCTCACAATCAATTTTTAAAAAGTATTTATCTGTAGGTGATAACACTATGGAAGATTTTATAACAGGGCCTTAACAGTTGCTGGACTCCTTCAGTTGACTCCTTCCTTGGGCCCATAAATTAACTCAAAGCAGGATAAAAGCTAGGCATTCCAGCCTCTACTTTTTACTATGTCCTTTGCCCTGGGCCAATCTCTCAGGCAGTGCATTTGCCACTATCTTGGAATTCAGGAAAAACTGCCAGGTGTCTATGATTCATACCGTAATAAACCCCATCATGGAAGAACTTCCAAGACCACCAGAAGAAACACCCCGCCTGTGTACCGGGTGTACTAGCAATTCTGCACACCTCATCCCTTGCCCCCAATTCCTCCTCCTGTTTAAGACTTCAGGAAGTCTGGGGAATAGGGAGGAGAATGGGTGAGAAGAGAAATGCTCCGCCAGTGCGCGGTCATAAATCTCCTTTCCCTGCCTTCACCATGGCTTATCTTTCAGTTGGTTTGTTGGGGTGAGTAGCTGGATCTGACTTATAAAATCTGAGTCTGGGTTTGAGGTCTAAAATGCCCTATAACAATTAAAATTTTCCCCCTCTTCTTCATTTTCTTACTTCCTCAACAATGAGCATTTCAAGTGTGCGATTTTTTAACAGTAAAGTCCCCATGGTACAGATTCCTCTGCTAAGCTCCCACCAGGATGTGACTGGCCAATTCCTGTTCCACAGAACTGGGTCCTGCTCCTTCCTCCAAGCTCAGACCCCTGTCATGCTGGCACTCACTTCTGATTATTTAAAAAAAAAAAAAACAATTACTTCCTCATCCCTTAATAAGAACAGCTTGGAGTTTCAACTGTGAGATGTCATGACAGTAAATGGTGGCACAGCTGAAGAGCACTGGCAAATGGGGGTGGGGGTGGGGGCTGCTGCAGGCTACACAGGAAAGCCTCCCCTCCCTTCACTACTTCCCAAGCCCCTTCACTGGACTCAGAATGCTAGAAACCTGACACGCTAGCTAGGGCGGAAACGGGCATAAAGACCCTGTAACCCCTATCGGGCCTGAGCGGATAAGACTATTGTGTGGCCTAAAAGATAAGTTTCCTGGAGGCACAAAGGGTCCTTTTATTTCTTGTGCCCAAAGGCAGGTGCCAGTGCCAGCCCTGCTCTTCCCCAGTCTCTGCCTCCCCTTTAATCCAGATACTTCAGCCCATCCCGGGGAAATGTGTTCCCATCACTCGCCAACTCCCAGCCATCTCAGATGTGATGCGGCTGAGAGACGAAAGACAAACACGGTGTCGGGTGTCAGCTGAGAAATCAAAGTAGGAGAACTTGTATAAAAGCCCTTCTTTAGACAGTATTTCACTGTCATTTTCCTCCCTTTATTCACTGGTCAGCTTTGATGTCGTATTGGATAAAGCTCTTAGAAAAACAACTGTTTATTATCAATGTCAAAGCCATTCTGAAAAGCATCAGAGTAGCTTAATAAAAAACCCCGCAAATTCATCCTTACTTCACTGTAACCCTGAAACAAAAGACCTGGACTTTGATGTGATAATCACCAATTTCAGCCTCTCGGTTTGAAGAATAAACTGGTAATTCAGGTATGTACATTCCTTGGAATCAAAAGGTCAGGAGAAAGGTGCTCCTAGACATGGTGCTGTCCTACAGGGGGGACAATATTCTTCATAAAAATTCAGCCTCATTGGAAATTAACAATGTACCTTAAGAACAGCTCTTTGAGAAGGCTTGAGAAAGAAAGAAAATATGGAATACCCAACAGCCTCCTGCCAGGAGACACTTTAGGGGCTGGGGTTCAGCTCAGTGGTAGAGGCCTTCCCAGCCCTGCATCACAAACAAGAACAGAAATATGCTAGAACAAGAAGCCAAGAAATTATGAAAAAAAATTATTTTCTGGGCCTAAGCATTCTCCCCAACTCAACCTAACCTCAACCTAACTATTCCTATGAATAGAAAAATTAGGGGAAGGTAATATACCAGAAATAGAGTGGGACTAATTTCTTTCATTTATGCAAAAAAATTAAATCAATATGTACAACTTTGAAAACAAAATGAAAAAGAGTTGTGTAACGAGCATATGTAACTTGAACAGGAAAATTCAAAAGAACAAAATGGGAGGCAGTTCATACACAGCAGCAGGATTCAGGGAGGACTTCCAGGAAAGAGGAAAAATGAGAGCTGCACTACTTCAGCAGTAAACATCTGTAGCATTTGAAAAAAAAAAAAAACCAACATTTGAAGAACAAACTTTTGATGCTTTTATAATAGAGCAAAAACAAACGGGGGGGGGAGAGGGATGGTACCGGGGGAACAGGTGATAGAGAAAACTAAAGGTACAAGGAGAAGAAAAACCTCAGACTGCAGCCTGGTGACTTCATCATAGCCACGAGGACCCTGGCTTGTTAGCCAAGGTTTGTGGAAGGCAGAAGGCAAGCGAGGGGCCTGCATAACACGGGAAGCTAGGTGTTGGCTCAGCTGCATCAATAGTGCCATGGGGTTGGGATATCCACATACCATCGGAAGCAGGACAGAGTATGGAGCTCAGCAATCATTTTCCCCTGTCTCAATGGCTCAAGAGGCTATAGTTGCACCTGTCCGAATAATGATCAGATTCAACACACTGAGTAACCATGAGTCATGCTATCAGAATCTTGGGAGAAGTAGCTAAAGGGCAGAGCCAAAGGTGCTTAGAATCCTTGTTCTCATTCCTACATACCAGTGATTCTTAACTTGCATTCAGTCACACACTACTGAGGATCTGATCAAAGCCATGTATCATCTCCATAAAGAAGCCATTGAGTACTCATGGACTTGAGAGTTAAAAGTTCCTGCAAAGCTGGGCGCTGGCTGCTCATGCCTGTAATCCTAATTTCTCAGAGTTCAAGACCCGTGACTGACAAAAAAAAAAAAAGTTCCTGCAATCCTAGCAGGGAGGCTGAAGAAAGGAAGATCGCTTGAACTCAGGACTTCAAGTTTCAAGTTAGCTTGGGCAACAGAGTAAGACCTTCACTCAACAATAACAACAAAATCCCTTAGCTGGGTGCTGGTAACTCACACTTGTAAAGCCAGTCTGGGCAGGAAAGTCTGCAAGAGTCTTATCTCAGTGAACCACCAAAAAAGCCAGAAGTGCAGCTGTGGCTCAAGTGGTAGAGCGCTAACTTTGAGCAGAAAAGCTCATGGGGAAGTGTTCAGGCCCTGAGTTCAAACGCCAGGATTGGCATGCACGCACATGTACAGGCAGACATACACACAGACACAGACAGGCAGACAGGCAGACAGGCAGACAGACAGACAGACAGACAGACAGACACAGACACACACACACATACACACACACACGATAAGAAAGGCTTTCTGAGTTGGTTAGAATAACACCAGAAAGTTTTCCCTAGTTGTAAGTGGGATAGGAGGTTGAAAGCCACATCTTACCTGCAATAGTTGTGCTCACCCAGGCCGCCCTCCCCGTTGGGGTATTTCAGAGTGTTGTACGGATGCTGGAAAGTCTCGTTCCAGAACAGACATGGCTTCCCGCCTTGCAGAGCCGTCCAGTTCTGCGTTCCCCTATAATCTGCACCATTGGCTGTGAAACACTCTAGGAGAAAGAAAAGACAGAGCATACAAATTTTCTGGCAACACTGAGAGTCTCCCTCCCTCTCTAGTTGATGTGTTAGTTGTTTTGTTTGGAATAAGCTGGAAATGGATAGTGCCTTGCTAAATTCTGGTGCTTGGGCTGAGCAAATCAGAACGAGGTACCCTGTGTCAATGCCAGATAATCCTGGCACTAGCTTGTCAAGGCACCAGGACATTTCCCCCCAAAGTACACACATCTCAATGAAGATATAAACAAGGAGCTGAAATGTACCGAAGCCCATGAAGTGAACCAGGAAACCCCCAAATCTTGGAAGAGTTGCTACCAGCCCTGTGTGTTGAATTCTGGGTACTCGGAGGGGGTCACTGCTCTCGCCAGCATCTCTGTGTGGTAACTAGAACCAGGTCACCAGCTGTAACTGAGCTCTCCCCTACAGTCTGAAAGGCTGCACTGACACTTGGATTTAATAAGACCATCGGATACAGCAGTGCTTTGGAATCCCAATCACACAAATCTGGGAGTGACTCACATTCCCTGGTAATGAGGAACAGTCTTCCCCCACGCTGTCTGAGATAGAGGTGCAACAAAACAGGACGCCCTCCCGAGGGAGAAGGCTAGGGTGGTCTGTTCCCTCACCTCTTTCTGAAACTCTTTTCTAACAGGATGTACTTGCAAATGGTCACAGGTCCCATTTCATAAAAGGACAAATCCTTGCAGGTGCAATCTGGTGCTTGTAAAAAAAAAAAAAAATCTGCTTCTCAGATTCAGGGGGATGGAGACTGAGGCCGACAGGCTTCCCCCAACATCTTGCAAACATTAAACGCACAGAGGTTCATGAGAAAGGCACAGTACAAAGACTATTTTAAAAAATTAGCTTAGTTGAAATTGACAGAGAGAAGCACTTCAAACACTTCTTCAAGATGTAGCACTAGAACCTGACAGTCTGTTCCTAGCCTGTTTTCCCTCCTTCCCCTGGCTTGCAGTGACCTGTGACTTCCAGAGTTAAGGACTCTCAACGCCATTTCTTGTTGAAGAGTGAATGCTCTAGGCTACTAAGCTTGTGGATGACACCAGCATGATTTCTTTTAATATTTAATATTTAAAAACTACTCAGAACATCTCTCTTCTAGCACCTCCTTCCTCCATCGGCCCGGCCCCATGTTTCATCGGGAATGGCACTGTCTTATGGACAGCCAAAAGAATCTGGAATTCTAGGGTCTATGAAAAACCCAGCAGTTTCTCATGTTCGGTACCACATATGTTACAATAAGTACGACTCACCATCTACCATAACAACATAATACTTGACCAAGAGTCTACGTAAATTAAAAAAAAAAAGTTCAAGGGTAATTGAAGGAGGCAGCTCAGCAAAGCATGACATGCTTTAAACCAAGAGGCTCAGTCTTGGCTTCTTGTCCTGGACATTCTGCTGGCCAGCTGTGCGACCTTGGATGAATAACCATCATGCACATCAGTTCTAATATTTACACTGTGTTTTACTGTGTGCCAAGCTAAAAGCTTTACCAATGCCAATTCACCACCAACCCCAGTAAAAAGGACCCTTAACACAAGCCATTCTATGCAAGAGGAGGCTGGACACCTGGTCACATCCCACACTGGCAGAAGCCCTGAGGCTCATCCTTAATTTCCCAACCTGCTTCCCCCCTACCCCGCCCCAGGTCTTACTCTTCATCAAGTCCATTGGCTTAATTTATTAAATATCTTTAGGTAGTTGTGCAAAGGGGCTTCAATTCAACAGGCCAATTTATGAGTACAGTGCATCTTGATCAGTGTCACTCCTTCTACAATTCTTCCCTCATCTCTCTCTGATTCACCCATCCCCTCAAGTTACCTATTTCTATTTTTACATATGTTCATTGAGTATTATGACTGGATTAGCCCACCATTCCCCATCCTGTTTTCCTTACCAGCCCCCTCACAAAAACAAAACAACATGTCTCAGCTCCACTGGTGTTCTTACATGTCCCTGTTTAGTGCTGCTTATCACCAAGGAACAGTTCAGGCCTCATAGCTTCCCCCGCTGTTCTGTAATTCATTCTACTGGCTGGGAAAGTGGCTCAGTGGTAGAGTGCTTGCCTTGCATGCATGAGGCTCTAGGTTCCATGCCTCAGCACCACATAAGCAGAAAAAGCCGGAAGTGGCGCTGTGGCTCAAGTGGTAGAATGCTAGCCTGAGCTGAAGAGCTGAGAGACAGCGCCCAGGCCCAGAGTTAAGGCCCCATGACCGACAAAAGGAAAAAAAAAAAGACTATAATCCATTCTACCACACAGAACACAAAGATCCAGGAGAAGGAAAGCCCTCATATCAAAACCCACATGCCCCACAGCCATTTCCCATCTTCCACAGCACCCAGTTCTTTCTTAGTCGCTCACTGTGGGCCAGAGCCACAATAATCTGCACGTTTTTGTGTGTACCAATTCTAGGGCTTGAACTGAGGGCCTGGGCACTGTCCCTGAGCTTTGTGCTCAAGGCTGGTGCTCTACCACTTGAGCAACACCTCCATTTCTGGCTTTTTGGGGCAGTTAATTGGAGATTCGAGTCTCACAGACTTTTTTGCTCAAGTTAACTTCAAACCTTGATCCTCAGATCCCATCCTCCTGAGTAGCTAGGATTACAGGCGTGAATTCTGAGACCACTGCCACACTATTTCCTACTGGAACTCTTCGTCCCCTAACACTGCTGCAGCAGAGTATGACCTGCAATGGCAAGGTTAACCTCCTTGCCACTTCCTCCGAAAACCTCCCACCATCTCCATAGCTCTTTTCCTGCCCTTTACGTGCTTGCTTTATAGTTCTCATCTTCCCTAGGAATGCATGCCCAAGCCTCTGTTCCTGAAGGATCCTCAGTCTCCGAATGCAACCAGCTACAAATAAAAAAAAAAATCCAGAAAAAAGGGTCTCTGTTGAACATGTGAAGACATTATTTCTTTGTCCTCAGCCTCTAAGCAATACAGTATAACACACAACTATTTACACAGCATTTATACTGTAGGTATTTTAAGTAATCTAGAGATGCCTTAGACAATATGGAAGGATATGTGCATTATATGCAAATAGTATGCCATTTTATACAGGGACTTGAGTATCCTCGGCATCCTGGACCCAAGACTCCACGAAAACTGAGACATCTGTATTTGCTCTCTGAGACAGAGATACAGAGAGAGAAAAAGAAAGAGAAAGGAAGAGAGAGAATATATGTGAGGGTATGTGCCACACTAAATCTTTGTCCCAACACCTGTACTTCTAAAATGCTATCCAGGTAATTCTATTACAGAATGAGGTTTAGGAGTCACAAGACTAGATGAGTCTAAGAACATCACACCAACCTTTGCCAGCTGCTAGAATTTTCATGGTTATGTGCGAATACATCTTCATTGCCTATCTGATCTTGTCCAGCAACATATCACATTGTATACTTTTAAAACACACAATAAAAAAATAAATTCTTTTTTAAAAAATAGTGAGGCCAGGGGCTGGGAAGGTGGCTCAGTGGTAGAGCGCTTGCCTTGCATGCCTGAGGCCCTGGGTTCGATTCCTCAGCACCACATAAGCAAAAAGAAAAAAGCCGGAAGTGGCGCTGTGGCTCAAGTGGTAGAGCGCTAGCCTTGAGCTGAAGAGCTGAGGGACAGCGCCCAAGCCCAGAGTTCAGGCCCCATGACCGGGCCCAAAAAAAAAAAAAAAAAAAAATAGTGAGGCCAGGCACCAGTGGCTCACATCTGTAATCCTAGCTATTCAGGAGGCTGAGATCTGAGGATCACAGTTCAAAGCCAGTCCGGGCAGGAAAGTCTATGAGACTCTTACCTCCAATTAACTACCAGAAAACCAGAAGTGCGCTGTGGCTCAAAGTAGTGCAGTATCGGGCTGGGAAGGTGGCTCAGTGGTAGAGCGCTTGCCTTGCATGCCTGAGGCCCTGGGTTTGATTCCTCAGCACCACATAAGAAAAAGCCGGAAGTGGCACTGTGGCTCAAGTGGTAGAGTGCTAGCCTTGAGCTGAAGAGCTGAGGGACAGCGCACAGGCCCAGAGTTCAGGCCTCACGACCGGACAAAAAAAAAAAAAAAGTAGTGCAGCATTAGCCTTCAGCAAAAAGAGCTTAGGGACAGTGCCCAGGCCCTGGGTTCAAGCCCCATAGCCAAAAAAAGTGGTAAAAAGGGATACAGGAGTCATTAAAATACCTTTCCTTCCTTCCTTCCTTCCTTCTTTCCTTCCTTTCTTTTGTCAGTCCTGGGCTTGAACTCAGGGCCTGGGCACTGTTCTTGAGCATCTTTTGCCACTTGAGCCACTTCTGGCTTTTTCTGTGTATGTGGTACTGAGGAATTGAACCCAGGGCTTCATGCATGCTAGGCAAGCACTCTTCCACTAAGCCACATCCCAGCCCTAAAATAGGCTCTAATGAATAGTCTTAACAATACACAACAACCAGTGGGACCCATTCCCAAGGACTCAGATGACTTGATTTGTAATTCAAAAGAATGGCAGCCAGGGCTGGGAAGGTGGCTCAGTGGTAGAGCGCTTGCCTTGCATGCCTGAGGGCATGGGTTCGATTCCTTAGCACCACATAAGCAAAAAGAAAAAAGCTGGAAGTGGCGCTGTGGCTCAAGTGGTAGAGCGCTAGCCTTGAGCTGAAGAGCTGAGGGACAGCGCCCAGGCCCAGAGTTCAGGCCCCACGACCAGACCCCCCCCCCAAAAAAAAAAAAAAAGAATGGCAGCCATCCATCCACGGAGACAGCCCTCACCCATGGGTCTGAGATGTCACCTACACAGGGATGAGACAGGGCGTGCTTAATTGTTTCAGTCTCTTTCTCTCAGATTCACAGTTATGCCAGGGAAACAGAGGCAGTATACTAAATTTTAATAATTACTTTTTTATTTTTTAATAAATAAAAATAAATTTAGATTTGCCATCTAAACTGTGAGGAAAGGCAAGAAAAAAAAAAGTTTCGTATTTGGGATTTAGAGTTATCTGCCCATCTTGATTTCATCAG